ATCACCTATTAAACCATCTTGTTAGTCTTTAAAGTCCTACACAGTCCTGTTTTTTGTTTCAGCTCCCCAAGACTAACACGGCTACATTTCTGCCACTGTAACCAGATGACATCTGTGTTGTGCTGTATCCTGGAGAAGCAATAAACTCCCACTATTCTACTGGCTGGTGGAGTCTGTTCGTGCCACTACGGGGGTGCAGGAGGCGGGGGAACCCCGACATGCTGTCACACCCTGCACACCTCATTTTTTGAGGAAGAAGGGTTCTTTCAGAAAAGGGATTTCCCCCCAAAAGAACCACATCTAAACTGCTTTTAAAAAAGTTTTCAAAAAAGCGATTGGAAGACTATATACAAACTAGCCAATAGCTCATCATAAGAAGGGAGTTTCAGGTCTCTCCTCCATGTCCGTGTCTCTCTCTCTCCCCCCCCCCCGCCTCCTCCCTTTCTCTCCTTCTCTTCTCCTCTGCCTCCTGCCTGTCACTCGGGGGACGGCGGAGCCCAAACAGCCACTTGCTTCTGTGAGGTGGTCCAGCTGAGCAGCACGGAAGTCAGTCGAGCACCACGGTGGGAGGCAAAGGTGGGTGGGGCAGTTACATGTGGTGTGACAGCAGCTCCAGGCCCCGCACCCTGGCCGTGAATGTCCTGTGCTGCATGGGGAGCGCAGACCCCGAAAGGCCACTTGCGCCACTTGCTCTCATGCAGTGGCCCAGCTGAGCGGCGCAGAAGTCAGACAAGCGCCATGGCAGGAGGCGAAGGGGGGCAGAGTGGTGACATTCACGGCTAGGGGGTGGGGCCTGGAACTGCTGTCATGCTGCACATCAGCCCACTTAGAGGCTTTTGCCCACCCCTGTTGTAGTGCATGAAGTGATGTCACAGGAAGTGTAACCGAAGTCTGCTTGAGTTGGGAGTTTGGCGTGACATTGATGGGACAATGACTGTAGTTGTTCTCCAGTGTCTGCATGTAATCTGCTTTTTGGCCATGCTCTCCTTGCAGGGCGGGCAGCAAGCAGCTGTTTGGGCCCCACACTCCCCATGCAGCACCCCAGTGCTGCATGGGGAACGCAGACGTTACAGACTCACAGACATTGGGCTACTATATATATGATTAGTGCTGAATTTGCATATCTCCTTTTGAAAGAAGAATGTAGTCTAGATGTACCCATACAGAATGGGAAGTGACTGCTAGGAAGGAGTACGGCAGAAAGGGATCTAGGGGTTATAGTGGATCACAAGCTGAATATGAGTCAACAGTGTGCTGCTGTTACAAAATAACCAAACATGATTCTGGGCTGCATTAACAAGGGTGTTGTGAACAAGACACAAGAAGTCATTCTTCTGCTCTACTATGCACTGATTAGGCCTCAGTTGGAGGATTGTGTCTAGTTCTGGGCACCATGTTTCAAGAAAGTTGCGGAGAAATTGGAGAAGGTCCAGAGAAGAGCAAGGAGAATGACTAAAGGTCTAGAGAACGTAAGCTATGAGGGCAGACTGAAAAAACTGGGCTTGTTTAGTTTGGAAAAAAGGTTGAAAGGGGACATGATAGTGGATGAGTTTTCAAGTACCTAAAAGAGTGTTACAAGGAGGAGGGGGGAAATTGTTCTCTGTGGCCTCTGAGGACAGGACAAGAAGCAATGGGCTTAAGCTGCAGCAAGGGAGGTTCAAGTTGGCCATTAGGGAAATCTTCCTGGCTGTCAGGGTGGTTAAACACTGAAACAAATTGCCCAGGGAGGTTGTGGAATCTTCATCATTGAAGACATTTAGATAAGCATCTGAATAGATAAACAGCTCTCTATAAACAGAGTAGACAGTCATCTGTCAGGGATGATTTAGAGTGGATGGTGCTGGGTCCTGCCATGAGGGCAGGGGACTGGACTCGATTCTTGAAGTCTCTTCCCGTTCTAGTGCTTTATGGTTCTGTGATGCTGTTATTCTAGTGGCTGGTGCTGATTAGCTGCCCCACCGCAAATGACAGTCACTGCCTAGCCAACGCTCGCTATCTGGAGGGGCAACATGGCTGCCTGCCCCCAAACTATGCCCATGTTAAAAAGCAGGAGTCTGGTCATTCCACTATTAAAAGTGGGGGATGAAGGGAGGATGGCCAGTGTTCCCTCCAGTTTTTACATCTATCTCATCTGTTCTATGCATCAATATGAGGGGGGAGGAGGGAAGGTATTACAGAACAAAAGTCATTCCACACATGGAAAGTGGGGGCAGGGGTGAAGCCAAGGGATTGGGGTGGAGGCTCTAAATGTTTTTTTTTCTAAATGGGAACTCCAGGCTGGGGCAGATAAGTGGGGTGTAGTGAAGTGTGAGGGCTCTGGCTGGGGGTGCAGGCTCTAGAATGGGGCTGGGGATGAGGAATGTCAGATGTAGGAGTGGCTCCAGGCTGTGGGGGAGGCTGAGGGTGTTGGATACCAGAGGGGGTTGCACACTCAGGCAGGGAGTTGGGGTGCTAAAGGGGCTGAGGGCTCTGGGGAGCCCTGGGGATGAGGGGCTGGGAGTGCAAGAGGGGCCTCCAGTTTTGGGGATGGACTCTGAGCTTGGGGGGCTGGGCTCCAGACTGGGGCTGTGGGCTTTGGATGAGGAATTGGGTGCAGGAGGTGGCCCCTGGCCTAGAGGAAACTCAGGGTTTGGGGAGGGGGATAGTTTGGCTGGGCCAGTGGTGCTAAGCAGCCTGCCCAGTGCCTGCCTGTCCTGGCACATTACATTGTGCCCAGCAGTGGCCAGCAGGCCTGGATCCGAGGGGGCATGAGGCTCTGAGACAGCTCACCTGGGCTGTATCCTCTTTGTGCCTCCAGTGCAGCTGGCAGAGTGGCTGGAGGGGGAAGGATAAAAGAGGTGAGATTTTGGATTTGCAGAGCAAAATCCCTTCCGCCACCCTCCCCAGCCCCACCCCTCTCAGGGATGCTTCTGTATCTCCCTCCCCTACCCCTCCAGCCACACCCCCTCCCCACCTCTCTCAGGGTCTGGCTACACTGCCATCCTAGTTTGAACTAGGGTGGCTAATGTAGGCATTCGAACCTGCAAATGAAGCCCAGGATTTAAATATCTCGGGCTTCATTTGCATGTTCCCGGGCACCACCATTTTTAAATGCCCCGTAGTTCGAACTACCTGCCCGCGGCTACACACAGCATGGGCTAGGTAATTCGAACTAAAGATCCTAAATCGAACTACCGTTACTCCTCATTGCAGGCTGGGAAAGATGAAGGGGCCCAAGTGAAGGGATTTTGGTGAATCTGAGCCTGAGTGTTGTGACCTTCGGTAAGTCGGGAATTGATCTGAGCCGCCCTAATGCCTAGGCCCTGCCCCTTCTCCACTGGTTCTCTGCTTGGCACTAGCCAGTATGGGAAGTACTGAAAACTGGCACCAGGGGCCTTTCTTTATTCGTAACTCTAGAGAAACTGGGACTGAGCATTTACACTGAGTGGCTGGGCTTGGGCCTGGCGAGCCATGTGCTGGCCATACAGGAAATGTTTCCCACAGGGACTTTGCTCTTAAAGTGCCACGTTCCTGAGTTGCTCTGCGGGACACAGGTGTGTTGCCCTCACAAGGTGCTTGCAGACAGACACCCAGAGTGACCTGCCCAAGAACAGTTAGCAAAGTCCAGAGACCTGCAGTGTAGAAGTGACCCGTGCACATCGGCCTGTGCTGGGTGGTGATGAGCGAATCAGAATCAAGAGTAACTCAGAAATCGCTTGCACAGCAAAAGGCCTGACAATGAAAAGTTCCAGTGTGTGCGGTGTGGGAGTCACACAAGGCACTTACCGCTCCTAACAGAACGGCGATTGGACAGAACTAATCTGGGTCCAATCTGGCCGTGCATGTGTGTGGTAGTACAGATTCTAGTCACTCCTGACCTCACTGTGTCAAATCTGTTTTACAATCATGCTCTTTGCTTTGTTGTTCTCTATGGCTGTGTCTAGACTGCATCCCTTTTCTGTAAAAGGGATGCGAATTAGACACAGCGCAATTGCAAATGAAGCGGGGATTTAAATCCCCCCTGCTTCATTTGCATAAAAATGGCTGCCGCTTTTTTCTGGCTCGGAGCTTTGCCGGGAAAAAGCGCCAGTCTAGATGCGGATCTTTTGGAAAATAAAGCCTTTTCCGAAAGATCCCTTATTCCTCTTAAAATACTGTCTGGGGGAGGGGAGGGATGGCTGGCTGCAGAAGTGCATTCAGCTTCTCACACCTGAGGTCCAGACAATAGGAGAAAACAACTTCTGCCCCAGAAGGGAAACAAAGGATAGCTGGGGCCAACTGCAAGGTGGGGCCTAGGGCCTGGGGAAGGGTCAGTCTCAGGCTGGGTGAGGCTGGGAGAAGGGGCTTAGAGGAGGAAGTAGGAGAAAGACCTGGGACCCTTCTCCCCAGGAGGAATAGTCCTGCCTCATCCTGGTTCCTGTAAAAAGAATCCCGCGCTGCGCTGTGTCCTTGTCTGAATAAACTTTCTGGTCTACTTGTCGGCTGAGAGTCATGTCTGGCTGTGGATTGGGGGGTGGAGGGAGGGCCCGGGAACTCCCCTACACCCTGTGACAGCAGAACATGTCAGACATGGGAAGGGGCAGGCAGAGCATCACAGGAGAAATGCATCACGGCCACCCCCGCATGCCCAAGAGAAGGGAACGGGGCAGAATTTGTTTCTCTCTCTGGCGTTTCTCACTCTCACAGTCAGTGTCATTGCACGGGCTGCTTCTGAGCAAATAAGGGTTCAGTGAATCAACCTGAGTGTCCTGCACCCCCTGTATGTGCCATGCGCCCTGTTCGGTCCCTTCTAGGTACCTCCAAACATCCTCAGACTCTCTGACAGAGCAGTAGTTTGCTGGGAGAAATCCTGGACTCGCGCCTCCAGTTCAGGAGCCATCTCCTCTGGCTGCTGGGCCTGCCCCTCCTCACACCTGGGAAGAAACAACATCCCACGGTGACCCTGCACTGAGTGACTCAGTTCTCACCCTCTGGCCAGCGAGTCGCTGCTCTGATGGGCCGGAAGTTAGAATTTCTCTAGTTCTCCCAGCCTGAGAGCAGGGGCAGCGCAGCCCCCAGCCGGGCGACCTTCCCCGCAGGGACTCAGGAATGTTCCCCACGTCCGGCCTGGGGAGACCAGCTCTGGGGACAAAGGGGAATTGGGTCTCCACGGCCAATTCACCCCTGGGCCTCTAGGCGCTGAGGGACGGGAGGTTCCCAGGGGCAGGGCTGTAGAATCTGCCCACTGGGGACTGGACCAGTGATCACCAACCAGGAGATCGGGATTTGCTGGTCGATCTTGGAACCTCTGAGAGGGCATCCTGACTGGTTGGCCAAGAGGCCATTAAGCCCAGCACTTCAGTTGCCCCTCCCCCCTCTGCTGGGCATCTCCTGCCCTTTGCCTCGGAGCTTGAAAGCTGGGAGTGTCCTTCTTTCTGTGTGGGGTAGGACAGGGCCAGGAGGGTGCTAATGTCAAGGTGCCTCCCTCACATCCTGTATCCTGTCTCCATAGAGCAGAGAGGGGGCACAACAGAATTAGGGACAGAACAAATTTTCTGACTGCTTTTGGGAGTGGTGAGCCTGCCTTACTCCACTGCCCCACCATCCATGAGCCACCTGAGGTGAGCAGGGCCCAGTAGGAACCCACATGCTGAAACCCTACCCCAGTCATGAACCCCTTCCTCCACCCCAAATCCCTGCACTAGCCCTGAGCCCTCCTGCATCCCAAACACCCTCCCAGAGCCTGCACCTAGATCCCCCTCTTGCACCTCAACATCCTGCCCCAAGCTCATCTCAGAGCCCCTCTCACACTCCATATCCCTTAATCCAAGACCAGAGTCTGCACTGCAATCCTCTGCCCCTGCCTGGTGAAAGTGAGTGATGATGGGGGAGGGATGGAGTGAGCAGGGGCGGAGCCTCAGAGAGAGGCGGGGGGAAGGAGTCAGGGCAGGGCATCTGGGTTTGAGGTAGATCGCAGATTGCACTTAAATTTAAAAAGTGACCTCGTGCTTAAAAAGGTCGGAGACCCCGTAGACATGGATTTACAGACAGTGATGTCTGTCTCTCAAATGAAACAAGGATTAAAAGTCAAAGTCCAGGTAGCTGTGGGCCTTTGCGACCCCAAAGATTTTTTGACTAGGTCAATCATCTAGTCTACAAGGGACAAGGAACTATGTTGGCTGACTGGCTTTTATGGTAGCTCAGGGTCAATTGGTTTAAATACAGTTTTGCTGGCCAATGTGGACAGCAGCGAAGTCACCTTGCAAGCAGACTGAAGCAAAGCTACATGTTTGTTTATGTTTTAATAGAATAGAACTATAACACTTTCTGGCCACATCCACAATGCTCAGCCACCCACCAGTTCAACCACAGCCCAGTTTAAACTGGGCTTAAGTACAGTTGTAGACAAAATAACTTGGAACAAGAATTTCAGCCAGTCCCCAGGTAGGTGGCAGCTCCAGGAAACACTTGAGGTCACTGAATGGAGAATTCCAGAGTCTGCACAATGGGAGACCCTCAAACTGAAGTTTATCAGAGAAATTTGTGTCCAGCCTGTGACACCCCCCCCCCCATTTGGTTGTGGAGCCTGGGGACACGTAGCACTAACATCAGCTCCTTGCTTGGCCCCTCACACCGCACAGGGCTGGGAGAGCGAGAGCCACGTACCTGCTCAAGGTGTTTCTGATATCCTGCAGGAGAGAGGGAAAAGAGTGTTAGCTCCACACGACACGCAGGGAATAACCCATCAGGCAGACAAAGGGGGCCTCAGAGAAGGGGTTTTAGATGTAGCTCTGTGCCTGTGATGTCTACACTACAGTGTTATTTCAAAATATCTAATTTCAAATTAGGTAATTCGAAATAAGATATTTCAAAATAACGCACCTACACACAAAAATGCATTTCAAAATAGCATTTTGCTATTTCAAAATAGCGCTTCCACACTGAGTGGACATTTAAGGCCAGCCAGAACCAGGTCCATTAGGACATCAGGTCAGGAGTCACTTTGTGTAGCTGCTGCCTGAGGCTATCTGAGGACTGTGCTTAAAGAGATCCCCCTGGACAGCCATTTTTCAGGTTTCCCTGCTTGCTTGCCTACCTTGATGAGGGACAGCAAAGCATTTTGTCTCTGTATGCTCTAGTTGCCCTCACTTGAGACACTACAGCACTCAACATGGAGCCATAGCTGCCCCTGTGAACTCTGGTACTTCTCCTGGATGCGTTGCTGTGAGCCTGGCTGCACTTTCTGCAGGCTGCCATCCGGAAGGTCCATCAGGGGGCTGTCAGTATCCAGGGGGCCCTGCGGGAGAGTTTCCACCCTGAGGAGCACTAAGAGCCTCCCTGGTCTTCCCTGCTGGGGGCGTGTGCCTCACATCCTTTCACTTGCCCGTCCCTAACCCCCTTCCTGATGTCAAGTAAAATACACATACTGTCATGAACACAAACTCTCTTTATTTAACAAAACTGGGGGGGTATGAAATTCTAATGAGACCAGGGAAAGGAGGTGGGAGAGGGAAGGAGAGAGAATGGGATAGGGGAGGAAGAAATCTGGGAGGAGGGCGCTGGAAGAGGGAAGCAAGGGGAAGAAGTGGGAGGGGAAGCTCAGGGCTCAGGGTTGGGGGTCTTGCTGGACCAACTCAATTTTCATATGAACCTGCTCCTGGATTCGCATGTGGCCTTTGGTGGCCAGACTGGCAGGGCTCCTCCCCCACATTGCTGTGTTCCTCTGTCTAGTGCAGAGATCATGGACATTGTATCCTGCCATAGATGGCCACGTTCCTCCATCTAGTGTGGAAATCATGGACATTGGGGGCATCTCCCCCAAACCTGAATAAGGTCCATGATCTCTGCCCTGGACCAGGAAGGCGTCCGCCCTCTCCGGGCTCCGGCAGGCTCCTGGAAGCTGGCAGACTGCTCTCGGGGAGCAGGGAAGGGCTGGCTGCCAGTGGCTTGCTCATGTTTTGGGGTCACTTGGTCAGGGGCCCCGAAGGCCACTGCTGGTTCTGGGCTGGCAGGCTTGGAGCTGGCACAGGCACTGTGGACAGTCAACCCCTCTAAGGACTCTGGGTAGGGGCAGAGGGAGAGGAGTGTTCTTGTTTGTAGAGTGGTCACCCAGGCACCCTGGGAAGGGCTGGAGGCCTCCTGTTTCAAAATAAGTGTCTACACAGCACTTATTTCGAAATAGAAGTTTCAAAATTGGTATTATTCCTTGCGGACTGAGATTTACCAATTTCAAAGTAAGCGCTCTGCTATTTCCATTTAATTTTGATATAGCAGTTGACTTGTGTAGATGCTAGGAAAGTTATTTTGAAATAACTTTGATGTGTAGACATACCCACAGGGAATAACCCATCAGACATACAAAGGGGACCCCAGAGAAGGGGTTTTACATGTAGCTCTGTGCCTGCCTGTGACTCACGTCAGCAAAGCACCTGCAGAGTTACACCCAGACCTGATGGCTGGACTCCAGCATTTGTGATTCAGGAGCCTCCCTTGCCTGTGTGGGGGGCTGGGCTGTTTCCCCTCAGTCTCACCTGCAGGAATTCACTCGCTGGCTTCTGACACTTCCCCTCCAGCTCCCCAATCAGCTCGCTGAGACGGGAAATCTGCTCCGAGAGTTTGGTGACAGTATCAGTGTGGAGCCTCCTAATCTCCTCATCCAGCCTCTGCAGCTGGGCCAGCAGGAGTCGCTCTTGTTCCTCCAGGAACTGCCGCAGCTGCTGAAACTCGGCCACAATCTTCTCCCGCTCTGCTCCTGTCTGTTTCTGTGTGAAAACAGGGACAGGGCTGGTCAGGGGCAGTAATGGAACCTGAAGGCCCTTAACAGTCTGACAAGAGAGACAATTTCTAAAACATTGTACAGGGACCAGGGCCTGAGCTGTCAGACCTAGAGCTGCGGCTGGAGGTCAGGATCTAAAGCCAGAGTCAGACCTGGAGCCCGAGTCAGGATCTTACTAAGGGCCGTGGCCAGAACTAAGATCCAGAGTCATGACAAAGGCCGAGCCAGAGTCAGTGTCTGGAGCCATGTGGGGGCAGGACTGAGGTCAGATTCAGGCTGCCAGGTGACATGACAAGCCAGAGTCAGAGAAAGGGAGCAGTGCCCCAGGCCAAACCTGGTAACACCGGGGCCAAGCCAGGGTGAGGGACCAGCCCAGCAGCAGACAAGGAAGTAACTCAGGGTATGTCTACACTATACACTATACGGACGTTAGTTCGAACTAACATTCATAGCCGCTACACTAGCGCTCCGCTAGTTCGAATTTGAATCGAACTAGCAGAGCGCTTAGTTCGAACTAGGAAAACCTCATTTTACAAGGATTAAGCCTAGTTCGAACTAGCTAGTTCGAATTAAGGGGTGTGTAGCCCCTTAATTCGAACGCTCCGCTAGTTCGAATTTGAATCGAACTAGCAGAGCGCTTAGTTCGAACTAGGAAAACCTCATTTTACAAGGATTAAGCCTAGTTCGAACTAGCTAGTTCGAATTAAGGGGTGTGTAGCCCCGCCAGCCCCCAGCCAGCAGACCCTGCACCTGGCACAGCACAGAGCCACCCACCCGATGTCCCCCAGCCCACCCCCTATTCCCGGGACCAGGCTGGCGGCTCCCGGGAGCTTGCCCTGGACCACAAGAGGCGGGCACCTTCCTGGGCTAGT